AAAGAGCAAATAGAAAGTGGCTCACAACCTGAATTTAGCAAGACAGCGTTGGATTTCTATTTCTGGCACCTCCTCCATATTCCCTTAAATGGCCTTTTTTGAGAGGTTTCCCTCTCCCCAGACCCCTCGTCCTCCTTCCCTGATCCTCCTAACTTTCCTCATTTCTCAGTTCGGTCACATTTACTATGAATTTTTCATCAATAAATTAATTTTTCTTTAAAAAAAATTTTTTTAATGTTTATTTCGTTTTGAGAGAGAGAGAGTGTAAGCAGGGGAGGGGCAGAGAGAGAGGGAAACACAGAATCTGAAGCAGGCTGCAGGCTGTGAGCTGTCAGCACAGAGCCCCATATGGGGCTCAAACCCATGAACCGTGAGATCATGACCTGAACCAAAGTCGGAAGGTTAACCGACTGAGCCACCCAGGCACCCCAATAAAATAATTTTTCAATTAATACAATTAATTGGATATTCATGCTCATATTAAAAAATATAGGAAAGTAATAAAAAGAAATGTGTTTTTAATGTTTATTTATTTATTTTGAGATAAAGAGTGTGAGCGGGGAAGGGGCGGAGAGAAGGAGAAAGAGAACCCTGAGCAAGTTCCACACTCAGCATGGAGTCCGACATGGCGCTTGATCTCAGGACCGACCATGACATCCTGACCTGAGCTGAAATCAAGAGTGTGAGGCTTAAGTGACTGAGTCACCCAATGCCCCCAGTTATGCCTTTTTAAAAAAGGCTGCAGGGCGTCCCCTTGCGGTAATGTATCAAAATGTACTTATTCAATTTCCTATTTAAAGACATTTAGGGGGCGCCTGGGTGGCGCAGTCGGTTAAGCGTCCGGCTTCAGCCAGGTCACGATCTCGCGGTCCGTGAGTTTGAGCCCCGCGTCAGGCTCTGGGCTGATGGCTTGGAGCCTGGAGCCTGTTTCCGATTCTGTGTCTCCCTCTCTCTCTGCCCCTCCCCCGTTCATGCTCTGTCTCTCTCTGTCCCAAAAATAAATAAAAACGTTGAAAAAAAAATTAAAAAAAAAAATAAATAAAGACATTTAGGTTGGGGGCGCCTGGGTGGCTCAGTCAGTTAAGCGGCCGGCTTCGGCTCAGGTCATGATCTCGCGGTCTGTGAGTTCGAGCCCCGCGTCGGGCTCTGTGCTGACAGCTCAGAGCCTGGAGCCTGTTTCAGATTCTGTGTCTCCCTCTCTCTGCCCCTCCCCCGTTCATGCTCTGTCTCTCTCTGTCTCAAAAATAAATAAACGTTAAAAAAAAATTTTTTTTTTAAATAAAAAATAAAAAAACAAATAAAGACATTTAGGTTGGGGGTGCCTGGGTGGCTCAGCCAGGTGAGGGCCCAACTTCGGATCAGGCCATGATCTCAGGGTTCGTG